TAATTATATCTTGGATGGAGAAAATAAAATAAAAGAGAGGTTGGAAATGATTTGTTGACGAGTTAGCATCGAAGATGATTTTTAAAAGTGGTTGAAAATAATAGAAAGAATATTTAAATTCTGATGCAAATTTCCTTACTGATTCAAATGAGCTGAGGTCCAACTCCATGACATCAACTTTGGCAAAGGGAATTCCCTTAACAATTGCATCTTTTACATCGCTACCAGCAGACATATTCCTCACCCCCATGATGTAATTGCATCAAACTAGAGATCCTTTTTCAGTTTGTGTCTTAACTTCGGATGAACCTGTAAAGCCTCGAAGTGGGTCCTCGGGATAGACACTCTGATACTTAAGTCAACAATAATCGGGTCTATCTCTGAACTTATGAAAAAGGAGCTTTAGGTTGGTTTCAATTACCATTTTGAGATGGCCCTTGAGGGATATTTATAGGCCTTCGTGAGGTATCCACGTGACTTGCTTAGCAAGATAATCGGAGTGTGACGTGTCCCTTAAGGCGGTAAATTCAGGATCGGGAAATTGTGTGACAGATCAGGTGTGGACATGTTCATTGTATATACCATGTAGCCATTTAACCGAAAGTGCTGGATTTAACTTCACTTCAACTATTAAGGAATTGTTACAGTATGTCCGAGGTTAAGGACCTCAGACCTACCCTTACACTATTCCCCCCTCGAAGTCATTCACTTGTGAATGATGTTGTTAGAGATAATGGGAGTAGTGCATAAATAGATAGAAAGGGGAATGAAAATATTAAAGATGAGTTACAGAAGTTAAAATAAAAATTGGTAACTCAAATTCATATGTGGCCGTAAAATAAAATGTGACCGAAATGATTGTGACCGGAGCCGTAGTGAAAATAACGACCGGAGTCAGTGTGGCCGGAGCCATAGTAAGAAGTGATGACCAAAGTCATAGTGACTGGAGCCGTAGTAAAAAATAATGATCGGAGTCATAGTGGCCGGAGCCGTAGTAAAAAGTAATGACCGAAGTTATGTTGGCCGAAGTCGTAGTAAAAAGTAATGACCGGAGTCATAGTGGCCGAAACTGAAGTAAAATATGTGACACGGAGTCACTATGGCCGGAGCCGAAGTAAAATACTTGTAAGTTGAAAATATAATTGTGAAAGTGAACATAAATGTTGAGGTGAGTTTAAGTGGACCCGTTTAAAAAATCTGCTGTAGGGTTAGTACGTGACATGACAATTGGTCTCTTGAAGAATGTGTACAATAAATACGGGTTGAAAAAAGTAACTGTGACAGTCAGACAAATGGGGTGGAAAACGAATCGTCGAATTCGAACGGTTCCTGTTAGGGTTAGACAGTTGAATTCGAAACGGTGTGAATGAGAACTGTCAAATTAAACTAATCCCAGCCGTTGAGAGTTATTTTTGCTCTGAGGTATAAATAGCCATATTTCAATGAAAAGAAATTTACTTTCATTATATTTTCTACAAAATTGCTGTCAAAACTCTACTGTGTTCTTCCTATGCCTGAACTGTTGCATCATTAGTGGACTTCTACATTAAGTTTTCAAAACCGAGATAAGGTAACGTATGAGTTTTGGTGATTTGGATTTTAGAGTGTGTTTTCTTCTACTTTCTCATCCTTTTTGATTTAGATCTAAGTTTTTTGAAGGAAGGGAGGTTTAGGAGTGAGAGTGACGGCGAGTGTGGGTTAGAATTTCTTAAAATTCTGATTTCATTTTCTTCTTCCCCCCTTGTATTCCATGCAATGAAAGTTACAAACTTTGAAGAGATGTCTTCTGAAAAAACTGTGAGTGTTGGGGGAAGTGAGGAGGTGAGGGCGTTAGAATATGGGGATGTGAGTATGACCAGTGAGTCGTCTGACTCGGAGAGGACGGAGGAGGGGGTGGGAAAAGGTGAGGTAGTTGGGGTAAAGGGAGATAGGGTACCCATTACTATAGTAGAAGTGGAGGGTAGGAGGGAAAAAGGTTATGATGTAGATGCAGATATTGTAGCTGAGATGAAGTAGTATAAGTCTGAGCTCGGGACCAGGGATAGCCTGGGTTATTTAGTGGAGAGTTATGAAATTGATTCCCAAGTTCCAATTAGGCCTGTTGGGGTAAAGGAGAGGGCCTGTTCTGCACCTCGGGATCATTGAATGCTTGTGTATGCCCATTATTTGGCAGCTAGGCTTAGGTTTCCAATTCCTGAGTTGTTAGTGGGTCTATTGTTAGATTATAGTATAGGGTTGACACAATTAGTCCCCAACGCTATGAGGTTAATAATAAGATTTTTAGTTTATTACCGAGCTCAAGGAGTTAATGTGCCAACTATAAATATGTTTAAATATTTTTTTGGTTTAAAGGAGGGTAGTATGAAGGATAAGGGGTGGTATTATTTCACCCCTAGGGTGGCAAATAGAGACAGTAAGAGCTTATTTACAGTGGGTCCTTCATCCATTAAAGGATGGAAGGAAAAAATTTTCTTTATAGATGATACTGAGTGGGAGAGAGGGGATGCCGAAGTAGAGTTGTTGTCATCTTGGAAGGCTAAGAGAGCCAACCAAATAAGTTTAGTTTAAACGAGGATGAGGAGGAAGAGGTGGGGA